TTAGTCTTGTCAGAAAATGAAGGGATTGCCCCACTCAGATTGGGAGTACAAATGTATTGGAAATAGTTGGGGGGAAATTGGTTTTAAGATCAGTTCCGTGTCTCTTACTCTGTCCTTCGATCGGTCTCAGTCACTTCTTTCCTGGGAGAAAGAGGGAGCATGGCTTTTACTTTTGTTCGCTGAAATGTTCCCGTTCAGCAATCTCACTGCTCTGTTAGGATTTGCAGCCAAAGCTGCTACCGTGAGTCTCTGTGCGACCAGAGGGCTCACAACAAGAATGGGACCCACACTGGCAGGTTTCTGCTCTCCCACTCTACTTGCTGTGGGCCACTCAAAATGGTCGTTGGCCTTCCTAATAGCAAAATCAGGCTCCTGGTGCCTTGAGATCCCCATTTTTTGTGCCTGAGTCAAAATGCCATGTACACTGGGAGTTTTCCTCACACTCCCTCAGCACTCTGCCTGAACAGCGCTCTGAGTAGCAGGAGCAAAAACTGGGATTTGAGAAATGTGGAGTCAAAATAAAAACTCTAGGGATAAACCACATTCATAGAATCATAGAATCATAGGACTGGAAGGGACCTCGAGAGGTCATCGAGTCCAGCCCCCTGCCCTCAAGGCAGGACCAAGCTCTGTCTAGACCATCCCTGACAGATGTCTATCTAACCTGTTCTTAAATATCTCCAGAGAGGGAGATTCCACCACCTCCCTTGGCAATTTATTCCAATATTTGACCACCCTGACAGTTAGGAATTTTTTCCTAATGTCCAATCTAAACCTCCCCTGCTGCACTTTAAGCCCATTACTCCTTGTCCTGTCCTCAGAAACCAAGAGGAACAAATTTTCTCCTTCCTCCTTGTGACACCCTTTTAGATATTTGAAAACCGCTATCATGTCCCCCCTTAATCTTCTTTTTTCCAAACTAAACAAGCCCAGTTCATGAAGCCTGGCTTCATAGGTCATGTTCTCTAAACCTTTAATCATTCGTGTCGCTCTTCTCTGCACCCTTTCCAATTTCTCCACATCTTTCTTGAAATGTGGCGCCCAGAACTGGACACAGTACTCCAGCTGAGGCCTAACTAGCGCAGAGTAGAACGGCAGAATGACTTCACGAGTTTTGCTTACAACACACCTGTTGATACATTGAGATCACCCTAAAACCATCTGCCGGGGCTTATGTAAATGTGTTGGTTTACACTTACCACGAGCCTCCCGTGACTTCAGCTGGGGACATGCTGTGACCTCTTAGGAGATTTAAACTTTTTTGGACCAAAGTAGAGTTGTCTGGGAAATTACTTAAATATCAAATGTAGAGTTTAAAGATTCAAAATTATTAGGATAAAACATTTCAATGGAGGGAGGGGGTCTGCTCTCTCTGTGCCCCTGAATCTCTGCTTCTGAAAAGAAAAATCCTTCTGCTACAAAAACAATCCAAAGGTCAGTACAAATAAAACCATATTTCTAGCTTCTAGGAAAGCAAGTGTAACCCATGCACTTAATAGGGAGCTGTCTCTTTAAGAGACCCCTGTGGGGGAGGTAGGACTGAGTTGAATGTTACTGTTGCTGGGCAGATTCGGCACTCCCCCCAGAAGCTTCTGGAGTTGGGTCCAGTAGTTTGGGGTCAGACTTCGTGAGCAAGCGGGTAGGGCAGAGGCTTTTCTAAGGCCTATGTGAGCTGGAAGGAGCTAAGCCAGGAGCAGAGAACTGGCTGCTATTCCTCACTTTGCAGCAGAGTTTCTTTAAGTCTGTTCACTTGTGAGCTAACTGACCAGTTAATCAGTGAGGGTATGTCTAGACTGTATCCCTCTGTCGGCAGAGGGATGCAGATTAGGCAGGCTGACTTTGCAGATGAAGCGGGTATTTAAATATCTCACGCTTCATTTGCATAAAAAAGACCACCGCTTTTTGCTGCGGTGGCACTTTTTCGGCAAAAAGCAGCAGTCTACAGGGGGATCTGTCGAGAAACTAAGGTTTACAGGATCTGACAAAAAAGGCTTTGTTTCTCGACAGATCCCCCTCTAGACTGCTCTTTCCAACAAAGTGCTGCATCGGCAAAAAGACGCAGCCATTTTTATGCAAATGACGCGCGGGACATGTAAATCCCCATTTCATTTGCAATGTCGGCCTGCCCAGTCTGCATCCCTCTGCTGACTGAGGGGTGCAGTCTCGACAAACCCTCACGGATTAACTAGTCATTTAGCTCAAAAGAGGGATGCAGTCTAGACATACCCTGGCTGCCTAGCAGTGACCATCGCAGAGGAAGCATCTGCCTGGACTCCAACTGAGAATTCCCTACAAGCAAGTGGAGAGAGAAATCAGACTCAGCACATGGTGCAGAGTTGATATCAGAGGCACAAGCTGAGACTTTGGTGAACCAAATCTAAGCTCTTGAGATCTCTCATCCTTTTCCTACTATGTCTGGGTATATCTACGCTACCACTCTAGTTCGAACTAGGGTGGTTAATGTAGGCAACCGAAGTTGCAAATGAAGCCCGGGATTTAAATTTCCCAGGCTTCAGTTGCATCTTGCCGGGCGCCGCCATTTTTAAATCCACAAGGAGTACCGGTAGTTCGGATTAGAAAGCCTAATTCAAACTACCTACTCCGTGCCGTGTAGCGGGGATTTAAAAATGGCGGCTCCCGGCAAGATGCAAATGAAGCCTTGGAAATTTAAATCCCGGGCTTCATTTGCAACTTCGATTGCCTACATTAACCACCCTAGTTTGAGCTAGGGTGGTAGTGTAGACATACCCTTTGTGTGCGTTGAACTGTTCAAATTTCACTTTTAATTTTTTTCATTACTTATGTTTATTGTAATTATAGACATTATTTGTGGGTTATAAAATAGCTGTGTTCTGCTGTAAAAATTAGATTATTTCTTTTCTTCATAAAATTGTATAAAGTTATTTAATTATATTCATTACTATAGGTTCTTTTAGAACTTGAATGTAGGGAGGCTGACACTGGGCAATGCTTGCGAAATTCCTTATAAACTAAACTCTGGGTCTCCAGTACTGCTGTGGGAATGGGGGTTTCTTTTAGACACTGGAGAAGGGCAGTGAAGTCTAGCCCACTCAAGGTTACAAATTATGGCGACTGGGGCACAAGCAGCGTTGGAATCTCAACTGGGGATTGGGGTGGAATCCAGGGGTACACAGGGTGTGTGCTAGCATAGGGGGGAAGGAGAGGAGTACAATTTCTGGATAACCATAGCACGGAGCTGTGAGAGAGGGTGAGCTAGAGAACGGGCATCCTGCTTTTCGTACCAACCAAAGAGACACGCCATTTCCTCCTGCCACAAGGCAGTGTCTGAGACTGTAATGGTACATTTACAACACTGTAGCAGACTGTCTCTGACACTATCTCCCAAGCTGACCGTCCCCCTTCCACGAACAACCCCACTAGAGGCTCGTAGCCATGGCAGCAATTCCCAGCACGGAGAAGCAGCCTCAGGAAGCTCTGTCGGGTGTCTGACAGGCTGCAGTACATGAAAGCTGTGTGTCCTTGTGAGGAAAGTGAGTCATACTGGCTCCTTTAAGTCTCTGCATCCTCTCTCCTTCCCCCTGCATCTGCCCCTCTCACCGTTCCTGCCCATGCTGAGCAGCTGCTGAGATTCCCTTTGACCCCAGAGAAATAGTTCAGGCTGGTTTTTACAGAGGAAGGATAGCTCAGTGGTTTGAGCTGTGGCCTGCTGGACCCAGGGTTGTGAGTTTAATCCTTGAGAGATCTTTTAGGGATCTGGGGCAAAAATCTATCAGGGATGGTACCTGGTCCTGCTGTGAGGGCAGGGGACTGGATTCATCCCTTCCAATTCTATGAGTTAGGTACATCTCCATATATGTATTTATTTTCCCAGTGCAGGCATACACTGAGTTTCACCCAGACTCGTGAGTTGTTTCTATGAGCTCTCACTGTGAAGTCTGGCCCCTGGGTGTTCTGGGTTCAGTTTTAGATCTGGGTGTGGGGACCACTGTGTGGCAGGACTGGGCATTTCGCAGTGTGTGGGGTTACACATGGGCAAGTATCCAGAACTGGAGGTTAAAGAGGAAAGGTCTGGCCGCAATGAGATCATCCTAAACCCACCTGTAGGGGACTATATAATAGAATTGATTGACACTCAGCATGAACCTTATATACTTCTTTGGCCCAAAGAAGAATTGACAGGAGAATTTGTGAGAACTCTACCTTAAATATAAAAGTCAGATTTACAATCCCTCTCCTCCTGGATTGCAAGGTTTTGCTTAGTTTGGGTCCATGTTGGCACTGTGACCTGGGTTTCCCACCGTGATGCCCAAGTCCCTGTCCTGAGTTTATACACATAAATTGGAACCTTGCTGAGGCATTTGAGTTCATGCTTTTCCATCACAAGATCTGACACATTAAACTTACTGAGATTGAAATTCCTCTGCCAGCCTACTGCCCATTCACCTAGCTTGGGCTGTGTCTAGACTGCAGGCTTCTTTCGAAAGAGCCTCTTTCGAAAGATCGCGTCTAGACTGCAGGCGGATCTTTCGATAGAGGAAATCCGCTTTTTCGAAACAGAGAACCCAGCGAGTCTGGATGCTCTCTTTCGAAGACGGCCTCTTTACATTGAAGAACGCCTTCCTTCGAAAGAGGAACTTTCGAAGGAAGGCGTTCTTCCTCGTGAAACGAGGTTTACCGCCATCGAAAGAAAAGCCGCGTTCTTTCGAAATAATTTCGAAAGAACGCGGCTTGAGTCTGGATGCAGGGGAAGTTCTTTCGAAAAAAGAGTACTTTTTTCGAAAGAACCCCTGAGTGTGGACGCGGCCTTGCTGAGGAATTCTCTCAACTTGACTATGACCTACAAAATCTAAAAATGGCTGTAAATATCACCTAAATTGCCATTCCCCTTTGGAGACTGTTAATAGCGCTACCATATTTAGCATACTATTTTAAAAAGTGTCTAATCCACTTTTCTGTGTTTCTGTCCCTTCACAGAAACCTTGTGCATTTCTGTGCCCCACTGATGCATCAACTCTTTCATGGCAGCTTCCAACTTCACCCAAGATGACTCACCAACATTCATCCTGACGGGCATCCCTGGCCTGGAAGATGCCCATATCTGGATTTCCATCCCTTTTGCTGCATTCTACATGACAGCTCTGTTGGCAAATTTCACAGTACTGTCTATTGTGGCCAAAGAGCAGAGCTTGCACAAGCCGATGTATCTGCTGATCTGCATGCTGGCGCTCTCAGACATTGTCACATCTACCTCCTTCATCCCAAAGGCCCTGGGTATATTTTGGTTCAATTTGAAAAGCATCACTCTGGCTGGCTGCCTCACCCAGGTCTTCTTCTTTTTGGCAAGTGCTACTGTGCACTCAGGTGTCCTAATGATAATGGCCATTGATCGCTATGTGGCCATATGTAACCCTCTGAGATACACCAGCATCCTCACTAACGCACGAATTGCTAAGCTAGGGCTAGTGTGTGTGGTAAGAGCTGTTCTCTTCATTCTGCCTGAGCCTGTGCTCCTAAGCCGGCTGCCGTTCTGTGCCAATCGCATTATGCCCCACACATACTGCGACACCATGGTTGTGGCAAAGTTGTCCTGTGGGGATATCACAGGAAGCAAAATGTACGGTTTGGCATTGGCATTTGTAGTCACTGGGTTTGACTTGACGGTCATTGCCACGTCCTATATGCTAATCGCCAGGGCCGTCCTCCAAATCTCCTCCAAGAAAGCCCACCAGAAAGCCCTCAGCACCTGTACCGCCCACATCCTTGTGATACTCATGGCTTATCCCCCTGGCCTCTTCTACATTCTGGCACACCGGTTCAGTGAAGGCATCACACCTTATGTGCACATCATTTTAGCCAACCTCACTTACCTCATGCCCCCCATGCTCAACCCTATCGTGTATGGGGTCAAAACCAAAGAGCTTCGTGATAAAGTGGTTGCATTCATCGGCAGAAGATGCTCAACTGATGTCCCTGACTATAAAACCACATGACATACGTGGTTACTGAGAATTGGACTGTGTGACCCTCGATTCGTGGGCTGTGTACCCCAGGATGTAATCAAGCTAATTGCAATCCCATGATTTGATTGCACTCACTGTGAATAATTGTAATACAATGCTCAATAGCTAATGATTAATTTGAAAGCAGTCTTTTAGGCGCAATGTGGAAATCTAGTTGACAGTTTCTGCTTCTCGAAATGGGAGGAGAGGATGGACAACTTGAGTCTGGACAGCTTTGACGTTAGAAGTTTATTGAAAGTTATCCAAGTGATGTCACAGCAAAGACACTGTGATCTAAATGTTTTGAAGAAGTTATGAAAGACTAGCTAAGGCAGGGAACTCTGAAGCAGCCTTTGGATACCACTTTGAGATATGTTTTTCCAGGTGCCTTGTGTCTTTGGCAGGTGAGTAACTGATAATCATGCTTCCATAGATTGGATGAATTTGTTGTATTCCCATTGGTTTATTCCTGATGCCACCTGGGGTGAATAGTTAAGCTGGTTCTGCTGGAAGTTCTGAGAAATCCAGGTTACACGCTGTTGTGTTAAACTCCCATATCATGTGGGACTCAAACATACTGCTTTGCCTAGTTGATTTTGGAGTAGCTTTTAGTTGGAAATTGCATAATAAATGCTAACAATGACTGTTTCACGCTGCAGTTTGTGAAATTGATGAAACAGAAATTAGCACAAGCTAGCCAGCTGACTGAATCGCTTTGAGGACGAAGTTCTACATAAACTGTATTTCTTCATTGCCATTGTTTTGTGGAGATCTCGGCCGTTTGGAGCAGCAGTGGAGATTTTCACCCATGGCTCACTGGTCTCACACTGAGGACAACCAAGCAGAGCCGTTTTGGGTTGAAGGTCTACCACTCATTGAGGAAACCTGGAATAAAGTCTGTTGTGAACTTGGCTTCCTTGTTCTTCCATTGCTATTGCTACTTGTGTTTGCAGCACTTGCCCTGCCCCCAAACTCTGATTGGCCTGTAGGCAGAAGGAGGAGTGTGTGAAATCTCCCACTGCCAGGGGCATGGGCACCTAGCGGAAACCTTGGGGAGGGGAGCAAAGACGTCATGTGCTCCCTCACCTCTAGACCAATCATGGTCTATGAGTGGGGAAGCAGGGAAGTATCATGGTCCTGCCCCTTCCGCTTCAAGCCCCTTCACTGTGGCCTCGAGCTACTTCAAAAATTTCTGATGTGGCCTCCGGCAAAAAATTATTGCCCACCCCTGCATTAAACAGTAATAAGTCACCAGGACGAGATGATATAATGGTGCGATAGGAAAGGAGCCTGAGACATAAGCCCTTATATCCTAGGCCTGGTATGAGGCAGGATCTGATCACAGAATTTGGCAAGAACGTGGCCAATAGTGGAGACACACCCACTCCTAAGGAGACCTAAGTAGAGTATTCAAGCAAACTCGTCCCGATATAAAGTGATACCAGAATATCCTCATAGTACAGATGGCAGGAAAACAGTCCCGAAGCAGAACAGTATCACATTGGCCCCTCCTAAAAGCAAAGGCCAGGATGACTATAGGTAATTTGTTTGTACTATGGTGTATCTCACAGGTAATATCTTTAGCCAGCCTAGGAGTAAGCACAGTCTTCCACCTCAGACTGAGCTCGGTCCATTGGCATGGGTCTGTATGTCTTAGCATCCTTTGAGAATCCACCAGGTGTTCATATTCTGTTTTGTCCATGCAAAACCTGGCTGGACACCTCTGTCCTGGAATGGATCTTTTGGTCCTTATGCAGTTCTCTCGGGGTCAGCTATGCCAACTGTCCGGACACAGCTGGGACAGCTGTAGCCTGGGAAGGAGTTTTAGTAAAATTTGAATGGGTAAGGTTGCCAATCTGACCAGAAAATCTAGATTCGTCCTCTATCTCGAGTTACAGTTCAGTGGAACCATAAAATTTCCCGTCTTGAGGGCTGGCAGGTAACTGATAGCAACCACACTTTAACTCAGTACATCAAATAGAAAACAATTTTATTGCTAAAGGGACAACTATGATAACCACCATAGCAAAAACAGCAGCAAGAGCACAAATCACTTGAATTCCTTCCCAAGAGGTCATTAACACAATCAAATTAAAACTTATCTAAGTATATAAAGAGTAATAATAATACTACTTTCTACACACACAAGGACCCCACGGTTAGATGGAGAAGGATGGCTTCCCTTCCTCTGGAAGACCTGGGACCAAGTGGTAGTAAGATTCCTAAAAGCAAACGTAAGCAAAATTAAGGAAGTAAGAAAGCCGTTATAGAAAGAGATAGAAATATGTATTTAGTTTCTGACCAGAAAGAATAAAACACTTCGGAGTGGACTGCATCAGCAACAGCTGGGACAGAAGCCCCAATCTCCCAGATCCCTAGACCTAAATACACCTTTTGATGCCAAAATGTTCCTGATGTTCAACCCCTTGTCCATAGTTGGACCTACCATCCTAAGAATTCTGAGGGTACCATCTCTGCTTGGACAAAATATTCAGGGACCTTATGAATATTTATTAGGAATAATAGAATCATAGAACCATAGAGCTGGAAGAGACCTCAGAAGGGCATCAAGTCCAGCCCTCTGCTCTAGGCAGGACCAATCCCAACTAAATCAACCCGGCCAGGGCTTTGTCAAGCCGAGACTTAAACACCTCTAGGGATGGAGACTCCACTACTTCCTTAGGTAACCCATCCCAGTGCTTCAACACCCTCCTAGTGAAATAGTTTTTCCTAATATCCAACCTGGACCTCTCCCACCACAACTTGAGACCATTGCTCTACCAGCCTCTCTCCATCCTCTTTTAGGACCTCACTTCAGGAAGTTGAAGGCTGCTATCAAATCCCCCCTCACTCTTCAGTTCTGGAGACTAAACAGACTCAACTCCCTCAACCTCTCCTCATAGATCATATGCTCCAGCCCCCCAATAATTCTGGTTGCCCTCCGCTGGACCCTCTCCAATGCGTCCACATCCTTTTTGTGGTGGGGGGCCCAGAACTGGACACAATACTCCAGATGTGGCCTCACCAGAGCTAAATAAAGGGGAATAATGACATCTCTGGATCTGCTGGCAATGCTCCTCTTAATGCAACCTAATATGCCATTAGCCTTCTTGGCTACAAAGGAACACTGTTGACTCATATCCAGCTTCTCATCCACTGTTACCCCCAGGTCCTTTTCTGCTGAACTACTACTTAGCCAGTCGGTCCCCAGCCTGTAACAATGTTTGGGATTCTTCTGTCCCAAGTGCAGGACTCTGCACTTGTCCTTGTTGAACCTCATTAGATTTCTTGTGGCCCAATCCTCCAATTTGTCTAAGTCACTCTGGGCTCTATCCCTGCCTTCCAGTGTATCTATCTCTCCCCCTAGATTAGTGTCATCTGCAAACTTGCTGAGGTGCAATCCATCCCCTCATCCAGCTAATTAATAAAGATATTGAACAAAACCAGTCCTAGAACCGAACCTTTGGGCACTCTGCTAGAAACTGACCACCATCCTGACATTGAGCCATTGATCACTATCTGTTGGGCCTGGCCTTCTATCCATCTTTCTATCCATCCTACCATCCCTTTACCCAAGCCACATTCTCTTAACTTGCTGGCAAGAATATTGTGGGAGACCGTATCAAAAGCCTTGCTAAAGTCAAGGTATATCACATCCACTGACTTTCCCATGTCCACAGAGCCAGTTACCTCATCATAGAAGCTAATCAGAATGGTCAGGCATGACTTGCGTTTTGTGAATCCATGCTGACTATTCCTAGTCACTTTCCTCTCTTCCAAGTGCCTCAAAATGGGGCTTCTGCAGGAACCTTGCATTACCATCCTGTTCAAATCTATATAAAGGAAAAACAAAATGAAATAAAACAGCGATCAATTAGCTAAAAGAAAGCAAATAACATTTTAGTAGGCCAAGATAAAGCAGATATTGTTTAGCAGGCGACACAGCAAACAGGGAGAACACCCACCTACACAGCCAACCAAAAGGGGGAACACCACAGCTACACAGGCCTGTATTTTGTTTCAGCTGCACCAGACTAACACGGCTACATTTCTACCACTGTATCACAGCTCAACATATTCAGAAATGATCAGGGGGAAAGGGTCAAGAGTGAGGTTGAAAAGTTTGCAGAGGACACAAAATGGCTATAAAGACTGGTGGGGCAGCTCAGGAGGGGCTGTCAGGCACTGGGGCAGGAGGGGCTGTTGGGGCGCCGGGGAAGGAGGAGCTGTCAGCGTGCTGGGGCAGGAGGGGCTGTTGGGCTCCTGGGGATGGACAGGCACTGGGGATGAAGGGTCTCTTGAGCACGGTGAGAAATTTTTTTTTTTAAAGTGAGAGAGGCTTTTTGGGCAAAGGGATTCCACAATCCGCCATCTGCTCCTCACATATCCCAAGTTGCCTGCACACTCCCTGGCTCTGGTGGTAGACACTCCCTCTCCCAATCATTCTGTGGCAGGACCCTTCTCTTTGGCATGTGCCCACTTATCGGGTTCATGTCCCCCGCTCTGAGTCCAGCCTTCAATGCCCGATATCTCCCTGCACTGGCCCTCTGCTCATAGCCCCACCCTGCGCTCCACAGTTGCTTATAATGTTCGGCTGCCATGTTACTTGTAGCAGGGCTGGCACCCACTCTCCTGGTTCTGCCCCTCAGTTTCCTGCTGTATGTTATCTCTGGCCCCCCATTGGTATAGCTGGTTTGTGCTGCCCCGTGTCCCGTGTCTCCTCCGTCTCTGTCTCCCCACCTCTGCCTTATGAGGCACTTAGTAGTAAAGTGAGAACAGACATGAAGATTTTCAACCTCACAAGTGTCCCTCAAATGACTTGTCACAGGATAGATAAAAAACAATAGATAATAAAGTAGAAAAATATCAGTTTGCCTCTCTATATAGCTATGGTGTCACACATACAGAATGGGAAGCAACTATCTAAGGAGTACCGCAGAAAGGGATCTAGGGGTCATGGTGGACCACAAGCTAAATATGAGTCAACAGTG